TCACATAAGAAACACAAACCGACGTCTCCAAATACTCTCCTGGACCTTTACTCTGTACTTGTACTCGAGTAGTTTTAAATACTTTATTCCAGCTCGAGTCTCGACCTCGAGCGAAAACACGACGACAGAAAAATAAACACGAACACGAGAAAAATGTGAAAAGTTCATTAAAGACCAAGTGTGACTCTGACGCAAACCAGGACTAAACCAGAACTAAACCAGAACTAAACCAGGACTAAACCAGGACTGAACCAGAACTAAACCAGAACTAAACCAGGACTAAACCAGGACTAAACCAGGACTGAACCAGAACTAAACCAGAACTAAACCAGAACTAAACCAGGACTGAACCAGAACTAAACCAGGACTAAACCAGGACTAAACCAGAACTAAACCAGGACTAAACCAGGACTAAACCAGGACTAAACCAGAACTAAACCAGGACTGAACCAGGACTAAACCAGGACTAAACCAGAACTAAACCAGAACTAAACCAGGACTGAACCAGGACTAAACCAGAACTAAACCAGGACTGAACCAGGACTAAACCAGGACTAAACCAGAACTAAACCAGAACTGAACCAGGACTGAACCAGGACTAAACCTGGTTTAGTCCTGGTTTAGTTCTGGTTTAGTTCATTATCAGTTTTTTCCATTTTTCATTTAAACACAAAATTCAAAACTGAAAAAAACAAACAAACAGAGTTTATCAGAAAAATAAAACCTGGACTAAAATGAGAAGTAGAAGTTTGTGTTTTGTTGGATCAGATCTGTGGAGTCGAGGCGACGGGAAAAACATCGACATCAGAAAAAAACATTTGTAACAAGAAATTTAAAAAACAGATTGAAATCTCCAGACAAACCCAGAGACCAAGTCTCAAGTCTTTGACCTCAAGTCCGAGTCCGAGTCAAGTCCAAGTCAAGTCCGAGTCAAGTCCCAAGTCAAAGACAGACAAGTCCAAGTCAAGTCCAAGTCAAGTCCAAGTCAAGTCCAGGTCAAGTCCAAGTCAAGTCCAGGTCAAGTCCAGGTCAAGTCCAGGTCAAGTCCAGGTCAAGTCCAAGTCAAGTCCGAGTCAAGTCCCAAGTCAAAGACAGACAAGTCCAAGTCAAGTCCAAGTCAAGTCCAAGTCAAGTCCAGGTCAAGTCCAAGTCAAGTCCAAGTCAAGTCCAAGTCAAGTCCAAGTCAAGTCCAAGTTAAATCCAAGTCAAGTCAAGTCGTCTGCTTTGAGCTTCAAGTCGTTTCAAGTCTTTAAACCAAAAAAGAACCAAATAGAGTTTGGATTTTTCGTAATTTATATGAATTTTAAACTAAATTGTTTTTAAAAAGTCACGGTTTATTTAAATATGAATATTTATATAAAAGTTGTAGAAATTTAAATTTTTCCTTTTTAAATCTTTTGATCAAATCTGAGTGTGAATCAAGACGCGAGAAAAGAAAGAATTAAAAGAACTAAATAAGAATGATTCTGTTGTGTGTCTGAAACGGAAGGATCAGGTTCTGTGTACTGTGTAGTACTTTATAATACTGTGTAGTACTTTATAATACTGTGTAGTACTTTATAATACTGTGTAGTACTTTATAATACTGTGTAGTACTTTATAATACTGTGTAGTACTTTATAATACTGTGTAGTACTTTATGTTACTGTGTACAGTGTTGGGAAGTTTACTTTTCAAATGTAATCCCCTACAGATTACAGATTACAGATTACACACCCCAAATGTAGTTTGTAACATAATCCATTAAATTACTTAAAGTGAGTAATGTAATCTGATTACTTTGGATTACTTGATTTGTTGTAGAGAAACAAAGACGAGGAAATCTTCACATAAGAAGTTTTATCTGATAAAAGAAAATAAAAAGTCCAAACTTTACTGAACCAAATTAAAAAATATTATTGATAAAAGACGAAGAAACACGTCCACACAGCAGGATTTAGTCCTGGTTTAGACCTGGTTTAGTCCTGGTTTAGTCCTGGTTTAGTCCTGGTTTAGTCCTGGTTTAGACCTGGTTTAGTCCTGGTTTAGACCTGGTTTAGTCCTGGTTTAGTCCTGGTCCTGGTTTAGTCCTGGTTTAGACCTGGTTTAGTCCTGGTTTAGTCCTGGTTTAGTCCTGGTTTAGACCTGGTTTAGTCCTGGTTTAGTCCTGGTTTAGTCCTGGTTTAGTCCTGGTTTTAGACCTGGTTTAGTCCTGGTTTAGACCTGGTTTAGTCCTGGTTTAGACCTGGTTTTAGTCCTGGTTTAGTCCTGGTTTAGACCTGGTTTAGTTAGTCCTGGTTTAGTCCTGGTTTAGTCCTGGTTTAGTCCTGGTTTAGACCTGGTTTAGTCCTGGTTTAGTCCTGGTTTAGTCCTGGTTTAGACCTGGTTTAGTCCTGGTTTAGTCCTGGTTTAGTCCTGGTTTAGTTTCCGGCAATGAGCAGAATTACCAAAAAAATAAATAAAAAAATGGATTTAGCCCAAAATGTGAAAACAGTTAAATTCCTCTGTGTAATTTATTTATTTCAACAAAGTAACTGTAATCCAATTCCCACTCACTGAAACAGTAACTGTAACTGAATACAGTTACTCATCATTTGTACTCTGATTACTCTGGTACTTGTAATCTGTTACTCCCCAACACTGACTGTATATTACTTTACAATACTGTGTAGTACTTTACAATACTGTGTAGTACTTTTGAGTATCACAGTACTTCAGTTGTTCCAGTTTGTTCTTTTAAAACGAATCACTTTATTCATCGACTGAAAAGAGAAAAATATTTGATAAAAACAGATTTTTTATAGAAGCATCAAGTCTCCTCAAGTCACTGACCTCAAGTCCGAGTCAAGTCTCCAGTCACTGAGCTTCAAGTCCAAGTCCAGGCCCAAGTCTTTTTATCAAGTCAAGTCTAAAGTCCTAAAAACAGTGACTCAAGTCGTGACTCGAGTCCAAGTCACGACCTGTGAGTCCCAAACCTCTGGTCATTTCACTCTGTCCTCTGCTCTGTTCTGAAGTGTTTCCTCGTCACACAACGACCTGAAGTGGAGTTTTGGAGACGCACACTCATCACGAAGAGTCACTCAAACGAGGAACTGAAACTTCAAATCACAGACGTGTGAAGCTGAAACTTTTTCTGTCCGACACAAACGTGAAGTCGACACTTTCAAAACGTCATTTGGAGATTTTGATCCAGACGTTTGTCACGACCAGACTGGATCCTGCAGTGTCCCCCGAGTCGACACGAGCCTCAGCGCTTCAGCTCGACTAAAACGCTTCAGTTCGTCCAAAACGCTTCAGTTCGTCTTTTATCTGATTCCTGATTTTAAAACTTTGATTTGTATTTAAAGTGTAAAGTCGGGACCTGAGGCGTCGCTGGGACCTGAGGCTCTGAGCTCCTCACGTCGGGAAAAATCACTTGACTCAGAGATTTTGTAAAATCACTTCTACAGTTCATGAAGTAAAAAATACACGAGAAAACCAAAGTTTTTTAGAGAGAAACAAACATCAACGAGGAGAGAAAAATCAGAAGAATCACAAACACAGTCGACCAAAAACACCACTAAACTTCAGTGACTTGAGCTGCTTTTTAAAAGAGTCTCAGGTCACCCAGAGTTTTAAACCAGGTCTTTGGGATCATCAAGAGGCCCTGACCCGAGGACCTGAGGGTGTGACCTGAGGACCTGAGTGTGTGACCTGAGGACCTGAGGGTGTGACCTGAGGACCTGAGGTGCAGTACGTCCCTGATGTTCTGGGCTCTGTTCATTTAAAGTTCTGAAAGTTCAAACCAAGATTTAAAAATCCACACGGAGCTGAACAGGACCAGAGCTGTGAAGATAAACCTGGAGTGACCTGAGTTCTTCTGTTAAAAACCTCAGAGTCGTGTTTTCCACGACCTGCAGCCGCTTAAACTTAAAACAAGTAAAAAGAGAATTAAAAAAATCTAAATGAGATGAAATAAAAGTGTGAACGATCATTTCCAGATCAGAGTTTGATCAAATGTTCTGAGTTCAGTGACGTCCACAGAAAAGAAAAACTGTTTTGAAACACTGGCTGCAGTTTCCTTCCAAACACTCAGAGTCTAATGCTGGACCTGAGGCGACCTGAGGCGACCTGAGGCCACGTGAACAATCACAGCTGTGACACTCACACACAGAACGTGTCCAGACAAAAGCAGAAGATTCTAATTTATATAACGACAAACGAACTAAACAAGACCAGACCTGATGTCACGACTCGGTGGACACAGAAGACCCGAGTGGAGTCTGACTGGACTGTGCATCGAGTCATATGACCTGTATTATACAGATGTTTTTATGTCTGTGCAGAACTTTGCTCAAACTTTTAATAAATAAATAAATAAATAAACTGGGAAGAAAACAAAACTGCAGCTGTTTGTGACGAGGAACTTTAGAACATCAGAACTTTAGAACATCAGAACTTTAGAACATCAGAACATCAGATTTAACCTTCACATGAGTCAGTTTGTGTGATTAAACGAACATAATGTTCCTTAAAGTTAAACTTGTTCTTGTTTTATGATAAATCTTTAGATTTAACTTGAACTTCTGTTGTTTGTCAAACCGCTGATCCGGAGCTTTTCTCCGCCGCAGGTTCCACAACTTTATTCCTCTTTTTGATTCTTTTTGATTCTTTTTGATTCTTTTTCCGCGTCAGCACAAACTCACCAAGTGTCTCTGGACAGAGCCGTGACGAGCCGAATCCCGGGAGCCAAAGACGACCTCATGGTTCGATCCGGCTCTCGCTGCAGCGCTGTTATTACCGCGTCCTAACGCCGAGTCATGTCCGGGAGCCGCGGCTCTGTGGAGCGGCTCAGCGCGGCTCGGTGGTGCGGCTCAGCGCGGCTCAGAGCGGGACACAGCGGGACAGAGGAGCCGCGGACAGTGCGCTCCGCTCCGGGGACATGTCTCTTATAAACACGTCCCTCCGTTTGGCGTCGGAGACACAAGAAGAAGAAGAAGAAGAAGAAGAAGAAGAAGTTTCCAGCGCGCGGACTGATCCTG